GCCAGAGTGTGAAAACTGTTTTTAATTAGGAAGACAAAAATCCAGCTTGGTACAGGTTCCTGGTCAGATCTGAGATTCAATGGGAAACTCTGAAGCAATACGGACTAAAAACTCTCTGCTAAAGGTGTGTTCATACGAAAAGCAAGCAAATGTGACACCTGAAACATTTGTGCAGTCCTGGTTTCTTCACCCCAACAACCAATGTACGTACCGAGGTTAGCTGTAAGCTAGCTGGTAACTAGCACACTGTGTGTTGATTGAGAACACAGGCTCCGGCCCCCCATTTTCTTTCCCGCCAGACAACCGCTGTTAGCATGCTAACGTTTGGTGCCAGAGTCCAGACTTCACCTGACAGATATACAAACACAATAAAACATGATGTAGATAAATTAAATAGACAGCAGCCAAAGAATAGCTCTTTATTTCCCTCTTTCTCTTTTAAGGGGTTACGGGAAAGCTCCAGTTAAACAATGAACTTACAGCTAGCGCTTCATTTATGCTACAGAAACATTAACCGCTAAGCTTGGTAAATCACATTACATCGCTAGCTAGCCAAACATGTTTAGATACATAATCTGTACAATCATAGTCAGCGTAGTCGTCGATATTGGTCGTTTCTTTCACTTGCTGCAGGGTCGATCCCGCTGCTGTAATCTGTGCATAATATCTTTGAGATGGAGGATCAAATACACATTATTCTTGGTGTTCAAGTAGTGGGAACAAAAATAGGTTACTGACCATAAGTAATAACCATTTTGAGGAATTACAATTTGGAAACACAAAACAGATATTAATATGTATATGGGTAGAAAGTATAACAAGCAATGGCATTTACTTGATGGCACCAAATACCTTGTCTCAAGTAAATAACCAACAATGGACCTACAACAAAGTGTAATTACTAAGATAACAGATGCACTGAAGTTGATGCTATGCTAACATTTTACCTTTTCACTAAGATTTTTAAGCCTGTTGGGTTAAAACCTTGACACCCATTACATTGAAGTTCTTCTATTATAGCTTTTTCTGGTCTTAAAACCTTTAATTTTATGAATCCATCTCTAACAGCTGGTCATCAAACTATAAACAAGGCTGATAATTTAAAAAACGGCACCGATATCCATCCTGAAAGAATATAAAAAATTTAAGAGGGGACATTATCTTTGCTTTAGTTGGATCTGAACTGGTGACATCAGGACACAGACCCCGCGCCAAATCTCCATGAATCCACCCAGAGCTTTGAGCATGCTTAAGCAATCATGACCTGGCATAAGGTCCATGTACGTAATCAATTATTCATTTGGAAGGTGGGGGGGAAAGTCGGCCCATCTGCTGAGGGGGGCAGTCCTGGCTGAGTTATTGAGCTGTATGCTGTCTGCTGTTTAATAATGGTCCAACTATGTATTGCTCTGTAGCATGGACCAGTCGCAGTCAATCAATTTCAAATCACTGCAGTTTGAAATGTAAACCAATATGGCAATTGACAAATAACTGCAAAAGTCTTTGCTTTTATTCTGGTACTTATTGAGGGTTTTCTAGCTGAAAGAACAGTTTCTTTTACAAGGTAACAGCCACTGAACTGTGGTTCATAATGAGTCTTTAAAAGTGTATTCATCTGGCCCCAAAAGCAGATGATGTTTTTGGTCCTTTAAATGAAGCAGCTGAAGAGATGATGGACAGTTCATTTGTAAAAAAAAAGAAAAAAAAGTGGCTTAAACCTCTCAGATAATGAGAAGCGTGTGTAAACATTAGTTGTTTTTTTTCTTGTTCACCCCTCTTATACAAATCCACTATCACAAAAACACATTGCTCATCTGGAATCTGATTAACAGACTTCCCTGTGCAAACGAGACACTAATCTTGGACCTGGAGATATTAGACTGTGATTTATAGTATCTGCAGGGGGAAACCGGTTTACTTACACCACTCTGTTCCATTTGAGTAGATTTTTTTCTAATCCATCAGATAAGAAAATGATTTGTTGATTAAAAAACCGGCTGAGCCAGTACATTCAAATAGAGGTTAGCTAGTTCTGTATATGAGCTACTTTATCTCACCAGAAGATAAACACGCTGCTGTAACTTCTGGTCTCATTCAATGCGCTTTAAAGAGATCAGACTTATTTAGTACAATAATCTATGCCTAAATAAATGAGCAAACAACCTTTAACAGTTGAAAATGAAACACAAAGACAGAGTGTGCGCTCAGAATGTCATCGTTTACAGTGTGCTGCTGTGTGATAATATAATGGGAAATGTTGCATCTTGATTATTAATGTAAAATACAATCAACCGTGCCATCTTTAAAGGGTATTTATTCAGCTCGATGACATTCAAGGGCATAAACAGCTTCTTGGAAGAGTCTACTTTCATAGTCCCAATTTTTGCATTGCAGTAGCGTAGAGATGAGTTTTGCATGAGGTATAATATATTTACAGTTATGAGGTGGAGATCTGAATTGGAGTGTTAATGAGGAAAATAGTACAAAGAAATAGTGCTGTGCTGCCATCCAGTGGTGGATTGGCCAACATACATGTAGACTGTTAAAATCTGTATGAAACGTGAATCACTGAGACTTGAATTTCTTTACAGTTTGAAGACCAAAAGCTAAACGCCCACATGTTAACAGTTTGTCCGTTCACCAGGCTGAACATCCTTTAGAGGAACTCTTAGTTTTTTATATTCATACATGGTCTAAGACGGTCCAGAAATATAATACCAAAAAACCAAATACTCTAATGTGTGATGTCATCCAGTATAAATTGTGGAACTGCTCTCTATAGACAATAAATTGGTAATGTTATGGACGACACAAGTATGTTTTTAGGTGTCTAAAACACATTTTGCTGCTGCCGCCGTCCACAGCGGACCATTGCTTTGCTTCTGAGCTTCAACTCCGCTTCTCCAAACTGGGGTCATGCTGACTGTCATCTAGTCTACTGTATGTAATACACCGACTATGGATAAGCAGGCTTACTTCATTCAACCCCACTTTAAAACATCCCTTTTACTAAGATCCAAGAAGACCATGCAGATGTTTTCGGATGATGTGCTTAACAAGTTTGAATATATTTAAACCTCGAGGCAGACGGGTCAGTGGTTACTGCTACATTTGTGATAAAGATACGAGACTGAGGTCATTGTTCCATAGCCGGTTTGAATCCCATGTGGTTCACAGCACAGTAGTAAATGAGACTGTTGCTGAAAATCTAACTGCAAGTAAATAATCAACAGTAGCCAAACAGTAAAAATGAATGAAAAACAATTGAGTCCTACTGTAGCAAAGCTTTACTGAATCATGATCAGGTATTCCAGAAAAAAAAATAAAGGTTTATATAAAATTGCATTTGAAAAGGTCACAATCTGTGTGTTTCCAGTCAGCTCGATCAGTAATACGTCTCCTACTTCTTTCTGTAATTAGAGAACACCTCAATGCAGAAATATTCTCAGTGTGTAGTAACAATACTGCCAACATCATTTTCCAAAAAATATATATAAATCGACTTCATATCTACAGCCAGCTGATGCCATTACACTGACAATACATTAAAACTGTACGCTACAACACTCTTGGACAACATGTAATATTTGAACTGAGTAGTAGCATAAATAACCGTCGCGGCTAAGAAGACGTAAAACAGTCAGCTTCCCTTGTTCAAGACTGATGATGAAAAACCTACAGACATAACTTAAATGAGGGTCTAGACTTAGTGATTATGTATTGAGACTTTTAAAAAGCCCATCTTTTAAGAGTCAATGTGATACATTTCATTAATAACTGTAGATAATTGTAGAATCAGGCCTCAATACAACACATATAAAATCAGCTTTTAAGATATTTCACACATTTTCCTCCAGTCATTAACCATATCAGCATTTGAGAATTTAACAAGTCGTAAAAGTTTTCATAGTGTGGCATCTCCAGCGTTCTCAGATGAGACTATTTGAATACATTCATGTCCATAAGGCAGGGTAGTAGCTACAGCATATTAAGTCCAGGAGCCATGTTCTATAACGGGGGAGATTACGAGCAGATGAGCAGCCTCTTGCATTTACCAATTTAAAATTGCTGTAAATAAAATAGGCCGCATGTAGAGGCGGTGATTTCAAGTGAAAACGAAGTATAGGATCACATTTTACACAAAATGTTAAAACTTTATCTTCAACTTTCACTCAAAGTCATGATAATAGTTTACAAAGAAACAGAACAAACTGGGTCCAAACAGAGTTTCATTCGTGATGTTCGATCCCTCATCATGCTGCTACGAAAATGTGTGAATTCAAAAGTCCTGCTATGAGCAAATTAAAACATCAAAAAGGAAGAGTAAGAGCAGGATAAAAAAAAAAAAAACATTAGTGGTCAACTACATTGTCATCCAATGCAAAACGTCAATTTCAAGGTCCAGTGTTGCAAAAATAATCCAGTGAAGTTTTCATATCCAGTGGCTGCCAACAGACGAGCTTCACGTGCAGAACTGACTGGATTTAAAGGGTTTGTAGTGTGCTACAAGGACAGTACAGCATCACATCAGTACTTAATGTTAAGAGTCCAGGCTTTCATCTCTTAGAGTCAACATTTAAAGTCACCGTCTTCGTCTTTTTATAGATTTCTTTTAGTCCTTCATCCAGTGTACTTCAGCACAGCAGCGCTACATTCTGTGTGATCCGTGCGTGTAGAGACAAGCTCAGTGTAGCAGTGATCCAGTGGTGTGAATAACCAGCAATAAAAAGCACGATTTAAAAAAAAAAGAAAAAAAAAAAGAGACAAACTTCCCTTGGAGTCAGAAGCCGGATGCTTTTACGCATCATCCTTTACAGTGTCAAGAGAACTTGACCTCCGTAGCAAACAAGTTGAATAAAAAGACTTTATCACTTTTCACCGACAAGGAGGTGGTGCACGTTATGAGAGACAGAGGTTTGGCTGACTGGATGGATTAAGCAAATTGCAGGTCACTGTCAGTGAACTCATACAGGAGATTCACAAGTTAGGTGCTCTTAAGATGTTAATACTGGAGCTAAATGTTTGTTTTAACGTGTTTTACAAAAACTAGGCATGTTATCTTGAAAAACTGTCATATTCCTATTATTTTCCTGTGTACTGTTCAGTTTGTCCAATCTGTTTTGTAAGTGTGGGTGCAATTGTGTCTGTAAGCTGCCTCTTCCCTGGTTCCAACTTCCCTCTGAGCCCTCAGATTTCAGCACTGTGTGGATGGGTGAGGAGGGGGGGGGGGAATGTGGTGATGGCCGCTCCTCATTTCTCCATCAGAGTTCAGTGGTTAGGAGACCTCTGGGTTTGGCTCTGTCCTCCGGGGCTGGCTGCTGACCCACAGTGCTGCTCGACACAGTGACAGATGGCAGAATGACTGCATCAGAGATGGAGACTCTACTTTGCTGGTAAAAGCATCAAACATTCACGATCGTGTTGACCGAGAAGTTATGAGCATATGGGTCCTGAAACATTATGCTTTAAGAAGAATGAATTCGATAAAAATACTAAGATAAGGAACACAGAAAAAGTATCCATCACATAAAGAAGTGCATAAATAACATTTAGTAATTCCCTCTGACTTGTAGTGGAGTAGAAGTATAAAGTTGAATTAAATGGAAATACTCAAGTAAAGCACAAGTACTTCACATTTGTATTTAAGTACAATACTTCAGTAAACGTACTTCACTAGCTGAGACTCCTCTGCAGTGACTAGCTGTATTGTACAGACAGATGCTGCATTGAAGCCTCAAAGTGAGCTCATGATTTCTCCAAATAGCAAAACCAAGCAAGAGTTGCAAGTGATTGGGTCCACTTGGAACTCTTTTGCGTCGGGATTTCAGCTAAAGGGAGGCATTTTCCTGCATGACCAGCAGGGGTCAGCATACTACCAAAGCTTGCTTTAAAAACAAGCTTAAGGCGCTTTGGGTTCAAATCTAAAAGAGTTTTACCTGGCGGAGATGGCGTTACGTGTGTGAGCGAGGCGGGGGAGGACTGGGGTGAAAGCTGCTCCCCCATCTGCAGGGAGGAGACCCTTAGCAGGGGGGTCGAGGTCGAGGAGGCCGTTAGTAAAGACGCCAGGAGGCTGCATTAGACGGGGGATGAGGGAGAAGGAAGGAGGTCATTCTCTACATAGCTTCTACATCAGCCAGCGTGAACAGCAGCTATGCAAGTGCATGTGGAAAAAATGAACAGTGAGCCTTGCATCATCCGTTTCAGGACAATGAAGACAAATGAAAATAATGGAATACAGATGAAAACCTCCAGGTCGACAGTTGAACGTCACAAAACGTGAGAATACAGAGATTGATCACTCACAGCAGTTGAAGGAATGATCCAGCGAGGTGTGATGGGAGGTTTGGGCTGCTGCACGGGTGGTAGCTGGGAGACAGAATGATCAGGATAATGTTTGTATTGACCATATTCATTTATGGTGGTGCATTCTACCACCTTCGATCACGGATGCAGGTTTACTTCAATAGCTCACTGCCAACTCTCACACATCACATTTCTTGTTTTATTCTTACTCCTCTTTTTCCACTTGCCTCTCAGAACACAGTTACAAGAGGTAGCGGTTGAACTCTTCCCCAATGAGACAATCCTACCAGACCCTTAGACGTCACTGGCGTTTACGTAAACAAACCTTCATGGTAGAATAGCGGTGCTCTGTCGGCTAGAAACCGATGTAATGAGTACAGGGACTTCGCTGTGGGACTCGAGTTAAATTGTGGGTGCCACATGCCAACAACGGGGGAGAAATGAGACACGGAAATATGTTGAACGCAGGACTGTTACGCACAAATCAGCCTTAAAACAATGTTGTAACGTGTTGTATTGTTACAGTCCAGGTGGGTAGTGAGACTGAGTTTGTCTTGAGTTAAAGGTCAGTGGTTTACTCCCTGCAGTGACTAATCGTTCCTCCTCAATGTTCTTCAGCAGGTCAATAAATCCTGTCCTTTTACAAAAGGTGCTTACACAAATAGGACTGTGACTGACCATAGGAGTTGGATCAGTGAAATCAATCAGGTTGTCAGACAGTGGGGCGACATTTTGCAGGTCAACCTCCTCTGCTTTAACCTGCAGAAGGACACAAACACACCACAACACATCAAAGAAGAAACCTCTACAAATTCTCAACATGACACTAGATCAAAGAGGAGAGACAAAAGCAGCAGACTCCAAAGAAAAGGGAAGCGAGGTGATCGTCTTTGCAACAGCGGCACCTACAATGGTATCACTTGGAAACGCGACGGGGAGAGAAGTTGAAAAGTTATCTTCTGCCACTTTAAACAGAGATCCTTCAGGTTTAAGAGCTGTCACAGTGAGACAGCGTTAAGAGTACCTTCATGACGTGTAATAAATCCAATGTTCCGACTTACCTTTGGTGCCATGCCTTCGCCGGCAGACTCAGAGGGCATCTTGGGAACAGAGGGGTTTACATCTTCAGCTAGCCTCTCAGCACTGATGAGCAGAGAAAGAGAGAAAGAAACAATTACAGAAATGTATTTCAAGTTCCTCCTCCTTGGTACAAAAGTAAGTTAAAGCATATTTCATTAGTACATTTGTAAGACATTTATTGTTCACATGATCAAAGAAAAAATCTCTTGATTGATTATCAAAACTGCTCTTGATAGATGTTCTATGATTGACTAATTGATTGATCAATTTGTTGTTTCAGCCCAGCATGAGTAAACATGACTGTAAACACTTATTGAACAGACGCCAGAAGTATCCAGGCAGAACTCAAGTCATGTGACTCAACTCACCCAGACACACACTGAATTACTCACACACAAGCATGCATTGCTAAAACATGCCAACAGATGTCAGCAAAGACCACCAAGAACAAGCAACCCTTCTTTCTTCGATGGATATTGTGAGCATTATATTTGTTTCATGCTCTGTTAGGAGGCAGGCCTGTATAAATAGTACAGAGAGGGCACAGGAATTAGTTAAGTTAAGTAGATGCTATTGAAGGAAAACCAGTTTTGCACCGAAATCTGAATGCACCTTTTTTTACTCTCCAAATACAATCTTTATACCCTTACTTTTAACAGTTTTCTATCCTCCTTTATTCATTCCTTATTAACATCCGAGTGGTCCAAGCCTTTTGTTTCTTCCTACTCTCAAGGTCCTAACAGCTGAAGTAGGTTAAATGACGACGATCATTGCATAAGATGCGTTTAAAGTTGTAGGCACAGTGATCAATATCAATTTACTGCATCCTAATCTGGACAGTGTAGTAATCACTAAATCTATTGTTTGATATAAAGTTAGATAAAAGAATGGACAAAACGGATATAATGCGCTATAATTAGAAGGATTAGGAATCTGCAGCGTCAAAGGTTCCCTCCTTAGCTGAAGCTTTTCTCACAGTTTCTCTCTCTCACATTTCTTCAGCCACAGAGCAAATAATGAATACATATATTCAGAATTTATCAGGTAGACAAATCCCAGTGTGTGCAGTTTTTAACTTTGCATATACATATATATATTTTTAAAGCATTTAGTACATAGAGACACACAGACTGACCTGGCCCCTGCTGATGAGACCAGTGAGGCTGACTTGAGCAGGTCCCAGGAGTCTTGGATTTCAGGGCGAGTGCTGACGGACAGAGACGAGTTACTGCCCATCCGCCCCGTACGCACTCTCAACCTGAAAATAGACACGTGCGCTTGTTTTGTGCCAGGGATTTTGTGTTTCTACTCAATGCGCAATTTCGGCAGAAAATATTCAACAAAAAGAAAAAAAATGAAACCCTCAAGATTGAATCAAAGCAGTAAAATATTCTCACAAATAAAATAAGCAAATTCATCATGAATCAATATTTGAATGGGTTACCGGGAAGGAAGAACATTTAAATGGATTTTTTAAATAAGAACTGGAGGATATATACACATTATATATTGTTACAGACTGCATTTAACAAATCTTACGTGGCTCACCCCCCCCCCCCCACCACCATCATCCTGAGCCACTTACTGCCTCCGATACAAAGCAGGGATTTGCTTGACAAGCTGTGGAGCCGTGCTTGTAAGAACGAGCTGAAGGTGACGTAATGTTTTCTGAGCAACGCCAATAATCCTCATGAATATTCAAGCGGTTGATCAGCTCTAGCAGCAGGCAGTGCCCAGATTGGCTGAGACAATGTGTTGACAGTTGGCATGACTCAGGGGAGATGGAGGAGGAGGGAAGAAGTCCCACATTTCAAGACAATAGAGCACAAGTGACAATAGCTTCTCTCCTGTCCATGTTGTCTCTGCACTGACTGTACTGTATTTAAAGGACAGACGATTCGAAGCTGAAAGGACGAAATAAACAAAATGTTTTCTATGGTTGAATACATTTTGGGAGCCTTAGCAGAAACACATTGTTTTATTTATAATGTCAATAACATAAGGGAGCTAAGTTTAAGAAATATCACTTCATTATGAATATGTATCTACAGACTGTACTTTTAAAAATAAAAATATTCCAGTGTGTGGTCATACCTGGCTGAAGCCTCCTGCAAGTTACAGTTTTTATCTCCAACAATTAGGACGTGTTCCTCCAAAGATCCCTACACAGCAGAGCAGGGAGAGAGCGGTTCATCGGGCGGGGGACTAATGCAGCCATTCATCTCCGACTCACAGGACAGCAGATTAACATCGCCACTGTGACATTAACATGGATGTTTTGCACATCACTGACATACTGCCGCTAGGATGAATTCATTCTACTGCGACACAGACACTGAAACCCTCATTGTCAGACCATGAAAAGTCAGAAAGGCCCTGGCTGAATGCCATTATCTCAGATACATGAAGGTACATAAATTAGAAGCATTAAAGTGCGATCACTAAAGAATAACATGCATCCAGTTGTGTGAGGTCTGTTCCTCACCTTCAGGGCAGCAGCCTCAACTTGTGCTTTCAGGATGTTACTCTTCAGATCCTCTGGGGTGCACAGTGGAGTGACAGCTGGACTACCGCCTGTGCTGCTCAGACCACACTTCTCTGTGAGCTTCACCACGTCCTCCTGGTGGGGCACACACACCCCATACAAAGAAATATGGTTATTACTTCTGAACAAACCAAACATAGCGATGCTAGCCCTGCTGTAATGTCTCTATGCTGGGGCTGGACACAAATAAAACGTGTCTTTATCTAGTTTTCTTTTTAGGTCCTGGGATAAAAGTTACAAAATTAACCTAAATACTATATTAACAAATACTCACCTGATTGTTCATGGCCATATTAACGTTGACATTTTTCAGAGTACCAAGAAGCGGACTGCTCTCCAACTCCAGCTGCTTCAGACGAGCGGCTGCTTCTGGAGAGACGTGGCGTTAAACTTAAACACACACCCACAGAGCTGCATTTGAATCATTCAGTGCGTGCACAATAAAGATGTGAAGAAGACGGGCGTGAGTCTAAGTGGTGGTGCCAGTAGTGCCAAGTACATGCTCATATATACTATAGGGGTATTCATAGGATTACAGTGGCTTATTTTAAGATTCAGAGTTCATTGTTTTTCACTGTGTGGTATTCTAAGGTTTTCTGCGGCCTCACCACCGAGGCTGAGAGGATCTTCCCCGGTGGCAGCATAGGCGTAGCTGGGTCCGGCCTCGTCTGCAGCGGTCTCAGGGGGAACGACAGGAGCCCCGAGGACATCATCGATGCACGTCTCCATCAGGTCAGCAACCGTGGGCACACTAGAGACAGGAAACAGGAGAGGAGGAGGATGTGAAAGAAGCGGCATAATCATATTTAAATATAAACAAAAGCATTGGAGGAGATAATGCAAGTGTATTAGACAGCTGTACAACTTACCTGCGACATCCATGAGACATGAATGGACTCTGCAAAGATGTCAAAACTGGCCAATGGTGACAATTTTGGAATAACTTCCAACAAACAAACTTTACAAAAATGTAATAGAATGTTAAATAGAAGGTCACCGTATTTTGAAAAATATCTGGCAAAGCGTAAAGGTTCATAGGTGTTTGGCAAGTATAGCCTTGCATCCATTGTATTTAAAATAAAAAATGTTCGTTATCAGGAACTCAAGAAAGTACAAAGACAGTTACTGTTCCTTCTACCAGAAAGATAAAGGACCTGCGTGTTCAAGAGGCAAGCTCTTTAAATAAACAGCATTGGTGAAAACGTCTTCTCAAGAGGTAAAGAAGCACGAGTCAGTCAGAAGCAAGTCAGCAAAGCAGACAACCTTTGAGGGGAAACATGTGGTGCAATATTGAAGCAGAACATTTGATACATGGATTTTGGTGGAAGCTCTTCCAGCAGAAGTAATTACCTCATATTTCTGTAGCCTGAAGACACAGTGAAACATGAGAAGCATATATTACTTATTATTACTTACACTGCCTGAGAACACAGGCAGTGTAAGTAATAATACACTGCGATTGTGCTTAGGCACAAACACACACAAAGATGTGACGAAAAGTACAATACTGTTCCTGAGGACTCACTAACCAAATGTACATAAACACTCCCACATGTTAGGTAATCCATGACGGAAGCAGTGAGGATGCATCCAACCCTGATGTGGGCAGTAAACGCGATGCACTGCATTGTGTATTTACAATGAAATGCAGCGCATGCACAGTTAAGAGATGTCATTGGGAGATGATACATCTTTTACAACAACCCAAAGGTTCTGAGCATTGAAGTGATTCTTGTCATGTTCAATCCTAACAGTAGTGTATAGATGTCCTTTGTTCCTGTGCTTCATATTGATCAAACACACACAACACTACATCGTCTTCTCAATCAAGAGCAATCCTGTCTTTATTCTCTGAAATGATTTTAAACGCTGTTCAGAAAGATATACATCCTTTGGTCGGAGCCATGTTGTAAACATTTAACTAAGCAATCACATTATGAAATCATCTTCATTGGTTGAACTGTGCAAGAACACATTGTACAGTGATGTAGTGAGATTTCCGCTATTATGCACACCGCTCTTTACACATCAGTCAAACCCACCGTTACCTTGGTGGCTGCGTTGTTTCATAATAACCCTCCCAACTGTCTCCACACTACTGTAGCTATGTAGCTAAACAATTTACATTACATTATGATTCACTTTTGAGCATCTTAATGGGATTGTGCTTGTTGGATTTCTCGCCAAATGATGGATGAGAAGGTCATTTTTGAATTGAAGTAAGAGTATAGAGTCCAGGATGTGTTCAGGAACAAAACGCTAGTTTTTTTGTGCCAAGTTAACAACTTCTCTACACGACAGACGAGAAAGACATCGACCTTCTTATCCAACTACCTTTTAAAAACAGCAGCTGATTCATAAAATGTGCAGAACAGATTAAATACAAAATAGATAAAATCATATTTAAAAAAAAATCATTTGATGGAACTAATGCAGTAACAGTGTTTGAAATACTAATTTTGAGAGGCCGACACTGGGAACAGAAGAGGACTTAGTCAAACCCTCCAGGCAGGAACTATGCGACTTATTGTTTCCTAACGGAGTCGAGAGTGGAGTTGAATTCCTAAGCCTCACATTGATACCATCTCCCCCCCAGCCAGCCAGTTTCACCATGAGGTTAAAAGTGAAGGACAGAGGAAGGAAAGGGGGCGAGGACAGACAGAATGCGAGTGAAACATTGAGAAGGGCGGTATATCAAGTGTGATGGCACGCTTGGAGAGGCGTCAGTCTGCGACGGACTACGTGATACTTTGAGCGGTTTGTGTGGAGGAACGCTTCAGTTAGAAAGGCATGACTGCATTCACACCAAATGTGTCCTTCCATGTGGTGCAGTCACTGCCACAGAAGCTTTTCATGGGTGAGTCACTGCCGAGCCATTCACATTTACTAGTGTTCTGTCCAATTCATGTCAGTACGGAGGGGGCAAGACCGTTGGCAGTTCCTCGGATCTGTCCGGCTCCTTGTGGGGAGCTTTGATGAGACATGAGCATGAAGGGGTGGAGGAGAGGAGACCTGAGGAGAACAGGGTGGAGGACAATGACAAGGGGAAGGGGATGTAAAGAGATGGGGGGGGTGAGTGAGGGGGAGTGTAGGTAAACCACAAGCAAGACTGGCGGGAGAGGAAGGGAAGCATTGAATGGAAAAACAACATAGATGAGAAAGAGATTGTATGCAAATGAATGAGGGAGAGAGAGAGAGAGAATAAGGAGAATCCGCTAGTTTGACAGGTTTAAATGTGAAACCTGTCAAACTCAAATTCAGAGAATGTGAGGCAGCTGATAACAGGAGTGTCGTCCTTTGAAGTGTAATTCATTGCATGTGGACTGAGGTGCAGTTTAACCTTGTAGTCCGTCCTCGCATGTATGAGAAACAGGACTCCTTGAGGAGGTTCTACAGTCGTGCTAAGAGCTCCATGTTATGTTGTCACATCATGTCATTTTAAATCAGGGCTTGGCAAGAGAAATCATGCTGCTGATGATTTAAAAAAAAAAAGATATTTCAGTGAACATTAAACATGAATACATACATAAGGCGTTCATGGTTGTGTCGGGATACTGAGCATGTCATGCAACGTATGGCACACTGCTTCTGGTACACTGTACACTAGCGTGCATCTAAGTGTGCTGTGACTTGCACACTTGAGTAGAGTGAAGTGGACTGGGTGTCTCTGGAGCTTCCTTGACCTGGCTTTGCACCTCTAGCGGCTGAGGTCTGATGGGTTATGTGTCAAATCTGTGTTTATATATTCAGCGCTGGCGGCTGCGAGCCGGAAGCCGTTATTCATGGTGACAGCTCCTCTGGGAGCGCAGGAGGAGAGGGAGCGCACAGTTTCCCCACTGCCTCTGTAAAACGATGACGGACTTGATGATGCGACTAGATTTACAGCAGACTGAACTCCTACTGACCTTTCATTATTTTCCATGTACTCTCTTGATAGCGAATGGAAGAATAGAATGCAATGAATTAATTTCAATGGCATTCATCTTTAAGTTATCTACTTATGATGATGTTACAGAGGAGAGGAGTAGAGAGGCGTACAGGAACGAGAGGAAAGCGTACAGAGAGAAGGCAACAGATAAACAACAACGAGAGAGCATACAGGCCATTTACATTACCCATTACTATTAATTAATTCGTATTGGTTAACATTTCACTTTGTTTTCTCTTACTTAAACAAATGCAGCTCCTCTTATTCAACTAATTTCGTGTGAATGATCTGTCATTATGTTTTACATATAAACTGGATTATATCATCAGTATGAAGGCATCACATCACAACTTTACATGTATGAGCATTAGGCTTAATTACATTAGCATTTATTCTCTTTTGTGCTTGGTGAAGTTAGAGGACGACAGACAGAGGGAGAGAGGAAATTGATCGCTCGAGTGCTCCATGCTAAATTAAAAGTGCTAAGTGCTAAAAGAAAGGGAGAAAGGAGTGAGAGGAGAAAGGGATTAGTCTGAAGTAATAGTGGTATCGTCTCTTTCAAAGCATCCTCCTCCGGCCCACTGAGTCAGTAGTAAACTGTTGCCATTGGCTGATAGCATGAACCAGAACTCAGTGTAATATCTTATCAAAATACACAAGAACTTGCAGGGCTTGGGTCTTGGGATTGCTGATAAAGCAGTAGGCCAGACAACACTGGCCTACTGCAGAGTAATATGGGCCTGTACCTGGCAGGTCTTCAACTTAATCTAGTTTAAAAACACTTAAAACGGACACTAACTGGGAAGCAAAATGTCGGAAACCTTTGCTTTTCCCGCACAAAACAAAAAGAGTTGGTTGACGTGCAGGGAAAAGAAAGTATTTACAGCCTTTAGGATATACACCGTTAACCCTTTGAGCAACAACGTTTGAAAGAGTATACAGCATAATGAGTGTGATAGGCCATCGCTCCGTCTGTGCACTCGCCCTTTCCAAGGTTATGTCTGTGCATCCTGTTTTTCAGGGTAATAAACGAAGAAAAAAGGCCTCTGCTCTAAAGCCAGGCAATCCTCTTAGTGCAACTTACCAGAAATTTACTTTACGAGAAACGGGATCAGCCCTGAGCTTTGTTCCACAGAAGCCAGAGTATGATCAAGAAGTAAGAGAACCTACTTTACACTGGGAAAAAAAAAAAAGAATCACACGTAGGCAGGTAAACTACTAAAAACCTGAAATCTTTTTGGTAAGTCCTTAGCATCACTAATTAGAATTATTAACTTCCACTCATCCTCAAATATCTTGTGAACCCTTTAACAGTTTAGAAATGAGGGTTCAAAGAGGAGCAGGCGGCCAACAAGATGCACAACATGACATTAGAGGACTGAAAGTGAAGACGTCTACACACTGGAATGCACCGAAATTCTTGAACAGAACACGTCCAAAGCTGAAATCATGTCACGTCACAGATCCCAGCACCGCACCCCAAATTATCACATCAACTGCAGCGATTAGGTTGGCTTTTCATGCTGATCACAAGTGGACAAATAGCAAATCACAGGAGACCGTTTGGTCAGAAGAAAACCCTTCTCCGAAAGCCAGAATCAGAGAGCCCGCCACTGCACAGCGACTGATTGGTTAAAGCCAGAGCAATGGCGAGGTTCAGTGTTTGATCGTACCTACCTGGTCTGCCTCCAGACAAGACCAATATGTCCTCAGTACATTTTAATACTGGAACACACAGGGGGAACATGGCAGGTTTATAACAGAGGAGGGAGCACACATATTTACATGTACATTTGCTTGTTCATTCACACTCACAAACTGCATTCAAAGATTTACTCTTTCCTGCCATCCATGGTCACAGCAAAACAGGGTCAGTGGATAAGCCATTTCAACCCACTCTCGTGGCATTAGACCATGAAAGAAACACACCTAGCTATCCACCCACTTCTTTCAGCACCCCACAGGGATCAGTCAGTCTGCTCCAACCATGCATGACCTGGTCTTGTTGCCCTCATCAGTGAGCACTGTAGTAAGCTGCCACTGGCATGACAGATTATAATTGGCATTTAACTTAAAAACATCCGGTCTCTCCAATCTCTCAAATGTGCATTCACTTATTTTAACAAATAAGGTGAGCTGAAGATAAAATAAATTGGCAGAAAGAAGTATCTCTGAACTCGGGTACCAACCTCCTCTTTTCTCCTCCAGGACTCCTGGGTAGAGCTTCGATTTCCATCGGTGCACAGGCAGCAGCAGCAGCCACCGGGCTGACCACGGGCACTGCTGACCAGGCACTCCTACTGGGAGTAGCCTGGAGGCGCAAAGAGAGAAAATATGGTCGGCACAGATAGATGAGATTGGCTGCAATCTCTCCATCATTAAACCTTATTGTCGTTGTCAATGCATTGTAATATTCTCAGCTGTATCTACTCATATAAATGAACTACTTCTTTTCTATGTGAAAACAGTAACCATTACTGATCCTTCCCTGTAGTTTGATTCTTACGTGTCATTGTCTAACTCCGTTTTGTTTTCCTGTATAATGGAGGGACTCAAACACACAGCAGTTCTGCTCCTCACCTTGTTGCCTTTGCTGGAGCTGACTCCGTTGCCCGAGGAAAGAAGTCTGAGCAAAGAAAGAAATTGAAGTAATTATCAAAAAAACAAATAGCAAATACCTTGAACTAAACTGGTTGTCTGTGTCGTCTGAACACTTAAGGACACTAAAGAAACAAACCAGGGACTCTTAAAGTCTCCCATAATGCTTCTCACAGAGCACGTCGCTCGTGTTAATTTGGCTGAGCAGCCACCACGGGTGGCAAATTACACAGAAGTCTTCAGGCTGTGACAGATGAACCACATTCTGGGGCAATGGAGTTGTACAATTTAGTCAAACTTATGACACAATTTTTCATTATGTTCTTTTCAAAGTTATTCATTAGCCAATTTGCAAATCCCCATCTTTATACAAGGCGTTAATGCGGCGTCCTTTCAGCACAGCTTTAAATATTGCAAATACTTTATCTGACCTGTCACAGTCTGGGACTGTCCAATGAGGGGTGATGAAAAGTCACAGGAACAATAATCATCACAATGCTTTGAGTCAACTGGTCCCATGACAGATTAAAACTACCACTGACATCATGTATTTAGCCCGCACACACATCCCCATAACAAAAAGCTACTTCTGCAACAAGAGTACAAGTCAAGGCTTATTATGGTGGAACTGAGAGAATTAAGAGAGTGCGAGTCACAGCACTTCAAGCTACGGTACTCGAGAACTCTAAGTGACATAAAAATAAGAAATTTACAGTGCAAGCCTTTCCATCGTTGTTATTTATCAAACAGGACCACGCAGCAGCGGTGCTTACGACAATTGGGAAATTATATAAAATGTCACCCTAAAAACGAAAGGCGAGATAAAAGTAATTGAATCAGGCAAAGGACACAATCATATGTTTAAATATCAGTGTACTCACTCCTGATGATGGAACGCTCCTGTAAAAACACAACACACAGACAGTTAGTGTTGAGTTCAGATAGATCCTAAAATACAGAAATATGGGTCTGTGCATGTTTACATCACGCAAGATATTTCCATTTCTGCATGCATTCCTCATGTGTATATACTATGTACTATGTATGCATTTAGGCAGTATATACACATGTGCTGTGAGAGAGAGTTGTCCTCGCCTCTGTTCTGCATGGTTCTTCTGGAGTAACGTCGACTGGGCCTTCTCTCGAAGGAGGCGGACCGCCTGGCTTTATTGGCCTTGGTTGTCTGATACTCTGTCTTTCCACTGGCCACAAAAACACAAAAAATACATTTTACACATGCAAGGACTTCTGTTTGCTCCCAGACGGATCAACGCAGGCCAAACCATGAAATACAAAAGAGACATTTCCCAATGATTCTTGTGTAAATCAAAAGTCACAGCGGTGACCCCTGCTGAACTCTGGACTCATCCAAGCGATAACCTTCCATTAACAACAAACCCTGTAACCTCTGTGTAAAACCAACAATACTGCCCGTGCTTATCCAACTGGGTAATGTTTAAACACACACAGAAGGGAACTAGCTGGCTGCTGCGGCATGTTGACATTGAGTGCCTGTCTAAAGTATCTGTGTGTACTCACATGTCCAGAGAATGATACTGTGCACCAAACTAGGACTATCTCTGTTGGTATGTTCAAACAGATCGTACAGAAACAAACAAACAGCTCTCAAATGTGTGGCAACCCCCCCCCTCCCCAAGTCTTCTTGTTAAGCAAGCCCAGCTGCAACTGTTCTCAGCATTCTCATTTCTCTTTCAGATAGAAGTCACTCACTGGAGAACTCATTCGGAGAACACCAGATTTTTTTGGTACAGATCAACAGAAAGACACTCTTAAAAGTCTAAGTGAACAGTTTGATACTCAATTTACTAGAATTACTTGTAAAACTTCTGTGCAAAGTTGTTCTTGATTCAATTTATAACACGACTTAGGAAAACAAGTTGGCGTCCCCAGTGAGGATTTTGGTGTGTTGTTTTAAAAGGGGCTTAAAGTCTGCCAAGAAAAAGGTACCTCATTGAAAAGCATGTTAACCAGTACATTGGTCCGTTACCTGTATCTGAAGCGGGATCCCATGCGTATGAATCCAGAGCTCGCAGAGTTCTTTTGAACCGGCCCTCTCAGCCTAAAGAAAGCGTGGTGCTCCACAGCACACTTCCAGAGGTGCTTACAGGCCTTGGGGTGGTCCATCCGGAAGACAAAGGTGTGCTCCTGTTCTTTGCCCTGGGGAGGAGAGGCGTGAGGTGAGATTTGGGCGATTCAGAGGAGAGGACAAGTTCACAGTACGGGGACATACAACAATTACTTTGCATAATGGTTACCTCCAGTCAGAGTAACCATGGCACAGCATTAGTTCCTCACCAGTAATACGTGATCTTTTGAAACTCCTGCAGTCCTAGCAAATATATTTTCAGTAAAACAAAGCTCATGTGCTAGCTGTTGCTTGTGGAAGGAGACGGATATGTGAAGGATGGATGGCTGCACTACAATGTGCCAACAAACCAAGATCGAAATAGACTGAACATGTTTCGATGTGTGATTGCTGACTGACTGCTTTTTGGTCTTAGGTCTGCATCGTTTGTTATTGCTCGACTGACCTCCGGGTCTGGAAAGTGAAGACAATATATTTCTAATGGCCAGCAGGGGGCGACTCCTCTGGTTGCAAAAAGAAGTCTCATTGTATAGAAGTCTATGAGAAGATGACCCTACCACTCACTTGATTTATTAGTTTCAAGTCTTCTTCAATACAGCATGATGTTCATTTCGTAAACTATGGTCCATTTAGAGTAAAATAGACGATAAAGCAGGGTATGTTTTAGGGGCGGGGCTAAAAACGGCATAATCTTAAGATTATTTTCCAACTACCCACCTGTTTTACGAAATTTAGAAACAATGGGATGCGACTGTTTTGCCTCCTCAATCCACTGTTCCAGAGGGCAGACGCAATTTACTCTCAAACTATGTGCAACAATTTCCAATGCAATGATCCTGACAAGACTCAGAGCCAGCCTTCTCTATTTTGGGTTCATCTCCGATGCTCCTGCTATGTGTGTGTGAGACAAACAAGCATCTCGATAAGAGAGCTGAGAATTATAGTACATACAGTAAATGCCTGTGGTGAAAAGACTAGCATGTATAACTGTTTAGGACAGAGATTTGTGTGTGTGTGTGCGTGCGTGTGTGTGTAGGAGTTGGAGAATGGTGCATACCAGAAATACCAGAGCGGGCAGGCTTCTTTATTAACCTCACTCAGACCTCCAGGATGGACACAAACAGGCTCTCCTTCTCTCTCATGTACACTAGCCTCTGGGTAGTACAATACTAAGCCTTGTTTCATTTTGACTTGGAACCAGCCTCTTTTTGGGGCTCAGGCTCTGCTTCTAACAAAAGCTTTAAGAGCAATACTCATTGTTTGACCATTTCTTTTATGGGACGCAAAAAAACCAATACATCTTGCCTGGTTTGTAAATAATTTTGTCTTCGTTCTTAAATGGCAGCGTTGTTATTACTTCACGATGATATTTGGTAAAATGTTGAGATTTACCTTAAAGTGCAAAGTGGTTTAATTCTTTCCTATTTTGTGAGAGGACAGATGCGATAGGATCAGTTGTTTATGTATTATATGTGAATATGTCATTCACAAGCCGACACCTGCATGAAGTGTTATGATACCACCAATAACTAACTAATAATTAACAATGAACTGGTACTACACTGCAGTGTGGTATTGTTTTGTCCTTGCAACAGGAGCAAAGTGTGGCAGGTGCAGTACATTCTTTACAGTCATTGATAAACTGTTAACAAGAGGGATTACTATGAGAGGCTGAATGCATGTTGTGCATTTTCAACATTCCACTGTATGGCAGGAATCCGAGTGCGTGTGCTCATGTTCACCTGGTCATCATCCTCCACTACCACAAGCGTCAGTTTGCTCTTCTTAAAATCCAGACAAGTGATCTTGGGCCTACAACACAGCACACACAGCACACACACACACAGAGGGAAGAACACTGAAAACTCAAAGATGTTTCTATAAAGCATTGAAATAAATATTTCAGTAAATTGTGACATAACCAAACATACCAGAAGAAGAGCCCGATCTTGGTTTCTCCTTCAAACACCAGAACTCCAGTGGGTGTCAAACCCAGACTGTACTCATTACCATCTCTTGCCTGCATAGCAGATATAGAATAAAAGACGGTAAAGAAGAGACAGCAAAAGAGGTAAGATTATGAATTTTTTCACATAATTATATGCACATTCTCACCAATTTCTCTCATCTATTCAGGGTATACGGTACATGCTAGTGAGACAGAGTGTGTGTCAGTTACCTTGACCATATGCATGTCCACCCCATACATCTCTAGCCACTTGGCTTTGTTCAGGTAGTTAATTTCAGCCTGGGCTGGCATCTGACCTCTGACAGAACGGAGGGAAAGAATGAAGGAGGTGAAACAGAAAGAAATGTCTGCATGATCAAAAACATAACTGCAGCTCCAAGCCAAACAGAAGGCCGGCATACAGTCTACAGACTGCAGTGCATCCTTTTTTTTTTTATTATTATTATTATTATTATTATTATTATTATTATTATTATTATTATAAGATATCTTACCTGCACTCCTTCCATTTGTTGTATACCTCTAGCTCCACGTCCTCCGTCTGGTTGGGGATGAAGCGAAATTCTGACACCAGGTCCCGATGATGTTCTAATGGGTCGCAATCACCTAGCTCAGCTGAAAACACACAGGCGTGCACACTTATCAGTTCCCACTGTGAGCAACATAGCTTCACAAGATGCATTACATTGAGGCGCTGTGGTTGTGGGCTGCGCGAGACTGTACAGACTGTATCTAACACTAACTGGTAATTCAGTGTACAATAAAGTGAAGACTAACAACATTCTTGAAATAATACTTTTGTGTTCACAAACCTTAGGTGTGTCTAATACTGTGGTAGTAGGTAATCCTAATGTACAATATAATAAACAAACCCTCCCTCAATGTCCCCGCACACACAAATGACTGATGGGTATCTGATCTCTCTCTGGGCAAGAGGTCATAGATTTTAAAGGCCAGAAAAAACATAAATCTTCACCAGATAAAAATGAGAATAGTGTTGAAAAGAGGATAAGGTAGAAAAAAGGAAAATCTCATCTCTGGTACTGTGGTGTACAGAAATAGGACCGAGACTGAAAAGCCTTGGTTCTGATTGCATTTGGGTAGATGGGAGCAATTAGGACCTCACTGTTTAGCTAGTCCAGCTGTGAGGATATAGAGAAGAGAAAAGATTATTTTACTCTATTCCTATCCCATCAATTGTCAGCGGACCAAAACATAGTTTTGAATCAGGGAAAATGAAGGGAGGAAGCTCAACCGAAGGAAAGAGAGAAGGCAGAAAGGGTGCTGGATTAGGGGGCCTCCGGAGAGGATGGAGCACTAATGAGCTGGCATTTACCCCACAGTGACTGTGTGTGTGTGTGTGTGTGTGTTCAAGAGTTTGTGCACGCAATCCCATTCAATAAACATCTCTAATGATTCACACTTTGTTCCTCTGAAGCAGCACTCTTTCCATTGCTCTTGGAGTCAAATGCTGCATTTCCAACGATTACAAACAGTATTAATGTGTAGTTTAAAAAGGTATGGGCTCTTTACTGTTCAACATGTGGTAGAAGACCACTTTCTGCTCCATCAGTACATAATTAAATGTACTGTATTTAGCTATGGAATGGACACCAGGATGGCTTATGTTAAACTTTAGAGAGAAACCCAAATATATCTTTCCCCAAAAACATCCTTCAGCTTCTCCTGTTGGCATCTGTAGCAGTCATCCACATCAGCTCAGCTAACGCAGAGGAGCAACGGCTCGACTCTGAAGTTCTTCTTAACGTAGTATTGGGAACATCACTTCTCAGCCACATGTGTCTGCCATCTAATTCTTTCCGCCGTTACCCGAAGCTAGGCCACTCCCTGTTTCGCAGTCATATTGTAGTGGAGGGCTTTCTCTGGCTTCAGAGCCCCATGGCAGCTATGGTTCCAGGAGGGTCCGTCAAAGAGGACGGTGATTCACGAAGACAGCCATGACTGCTTCAAAACGATCTGGGGAAACTCTTGTGGAACAAGGACACAGGTCCACTCCAGCGGCTGGGCTTGAGAGTACATGGCTCTGGTGAGCACCTTATTGAGACACAGCTCAACTGAGATGTGGGGTCATTACTTTATGGGTTCAACCGGTTTAAAGTAAGTGTCGGGGTTCGGTGCAATGTCTGCTGGGCATGTGTCGAGGTTGAAACAGATTCCAGCTATGTGGACAAACAGAAAGTAGATCCTAGGATAGGGACTTAGTCGTTGCAGATTGTAAAAATGCCAAGCTTCTTGGCATGCGAGTGTACCGTGCTCCAGCTTAAAGCTGACAAATGCTTGTGTGACTCACACCACTCTAACTGGTATAAGCACATGCTGGATATTTTGCTACACAGGCCTTTTGGGACTCTGTGCTGTGAACACAGTACATCTCTCAACTCTCCAAAAAGGAGTGTGCACCGCAAAAAACACAAAATAATGGCAGCCATTACAAAGGTGATCCCAATTAACAAAGACGGAGCTGGAGAGAATCCTGGATACCTGCTGTGCTTACCCTGTAGCGAGGAAGCAGCCAACTCCACCACCGTGTCAAACGGGCATTCTAGCCTGAAAGTACAGACATGGTAAGCGTCAGCAACATCAATGAAGCTAAAACACGGCCATAGGGCATTACAATTCCCTTATGATCTTCACTGAGGCCCACTGGTCCTGTTATTAATCAGCCAAACAATTCAAAAACTGTTCCTTTGTAGTAGAACCTTACACTCACATTATTCCCAGTCCACTTACTGACTACAGGGAATAATTAACTTCTGTTCCCCAACATGTAATCCTGTATTCCTCTAATACACACTGATGAACGGATGAAGAAAGGCAATACAGTGCATTGTCTTGGTGAACTGATTTAAAAGTCAGTTGTGTGAAATAACTGGTTGTGTGGACTGGAGAACCACTAGGAGTGTGCTGCTAAAACATGTAACTGACATGCTGCTGCCAGGTCTGTTTAATGGTGTGGCAAGTTAACGATCTCTTCGTGCGTCTGTCTTTCTCACTGAACATTTATTTAGAGAACAACAACAAAGTTCTGTGCATAGTTCTTCATTAAGATGAACGGCAGTCAAAGGGTTAAAACACAGGCAATGACTTACTTGCCACTGAGGATGTCTTGCTTTAACTGTAACACAAATAAGTATCTGAAAGAAAAACAAAACAATGCAGTGAGATATGGTGGTGAAATGTGAATTTCAAGTTACCCTGTAGGAACCCTACATTTCTGATTTGTGTATATAAACAAACAGCACTTCACTTCATTGTTATTTTTAGCTCTCTCTCTCTCCACACACGCAAGAAAGCAACCTACTTGTAAAGCAATCTGTTAGAGCAGAAGACACAACACTGACTTTCTTTGAGGTGTATGAGATTAACAGCTTCACAAAATAAACAATCTCAAATCACCCATCTCACCTCATTTTTAAAATGTGAGTTAAAAAGAAAGCAAGAAAATGAGTTTGAGTGTTTGTGGCTCAACTCACCTGGTGAGCTCCTCGTGCAGGTTGTTCGGTTCTGAAGAGTAAAACTTAACTCTCAGGTGAAGGCAGTATGGCGGGCCAACTAAAAGACAGCCGAGTAAATATCATGGACGTTAATGTGATAACAGAAATACCAGGGTGACATTTTGTTTTAATAAACTGTCTTAAAGACCAGATGCACAACATTCATTTACACTCAAACGGTTTTATTTAAAAAATAATTTAGCTAAACACAGTTTGTGGAGGTAGACTTACTTTTCACTTGTTTTTTGATACTTTTTGTAACATCGAGCCAGTGCTGAAACAACATGAAGGTGATAACATCGTTAGAAACACAGCAGCGTCAGCACTATAGAGATGAGGTTGGGTGTCATAAAAAAAATCAATACCAACAGCAATAGCACACACACACACTCTAAAGTCAGTGTTCTGTGCTGTAATTCTTCTTGGACGTTCAGGCTCTATGAGGCATGAAAAATGTCAAGGAGAGGCGGTAGTGGTGGTGTTTGTGTGTCTGCACGGAAAGAGAGATAACAGAGGGACTCGCAGCACTCTTTAGTCTCCTCTCCCCCACATTCCTTATCACACCCCCCCCCCCCCCCTCTCTCTCTCTCACCCTTTTGACTCTCTACCTCCGCCCCTCGGTGCCGCTTCCTTCAGTTACATCCTCACGCTTTGCCTCCTTCCATGGCCTTCACAGTGCATCAGCGTGAAGGAACAGGGTCACTGGCAGACCAGTGGCTTAAACCAGTTTGTCTCAGTCAGACCTCAGCCTGACTCCCAGAGGTGACAAGAGTCCCATAACCAATCCCTTTAGCCCATTCACTGGGAGGGGAAGTCCCTGCCTACAGCCTTCCTTCAAACGGGCGACTGGTGATCTAGACTGAAATCTTAAGTCTGGATGGGAACAGCAGCTGAGAAGACTGCCCGAAATGGTGAAATGTAAAACGACAGTTGGATACAACTTTGATTAGTTCAGTACAGTAAATATTGTGATGAAAGAGACATCTTGAAACATGCTTACACAAACAAATTAGGCGACACACAGTATGGCAAAGATGCAAAAACATAAAAAAGCAAGCAGTTCAGAGAGAGAGAGAGAGAGAGAGAGAGAGAGAGAGAGAGAGAGAGAGAGAGAGAGAGAGAGAGAGAGAGAGAGAGAGAGAGAGAGAGAGAGAGAGAGAGATTATTGTGTATCTCCATTCTTACCGGCACTTGTGCCGAGTCCATGAAGCGCAGTCCGAAGTAGTCTTTCTCTACGATGTCCAGATGGTACATGATCTGGTCAAACAGCTCCTCACCTTTTGCTTTTTTCTGATCAGGAACAAACACACACACACACACACACACACACACACACACACACAAATATCTGAGTGAAAGACTGCCTCATGTAGGATCACAAGTTATAAACTAGTGATTCAGAAAACCGGACCGTAACATCAGTGCAGATCCATCACATCCTGGACTCGCCCGGTTTTAACTTATCCCCTCTGGTAGACACTAAAGACCACCGTACGGCAACACAACCAGACACAGGAACAGTTTCATTCTGCAGACTGTCAATCTGATGAAGAGTTAAATGTCTCAGAGAGTCAATAACCCTCCAACACCAAAATATCCATTGCTGCCAGCCCAGCGAAAAAGTCAAATTCTTTGTATGTGCACACATACTTTGCAAATAAATGTGATTCTGTTTCGGATTTGTCTGAAGAAGTTTAAAACACCGAAAGATCAGTTCTTTACTCTGGCCTAAAAAGAATGGTTGTTTCTCTTTTTTGTACCAAATATTGTTCTGAGTGGTTCTTGCTTTAAGTGTACATGCGATATGAGAAAATATTAACCTAAAAGTACTCATAAAGTAAGTTTTAACAGGTGTTGCCCTTTCTGACAAGGCCGTACCAGTTACTGCCTGTGTTCCGTCTGGGATATCTCTCCCTCACATGTTCACTCACTCACTCTCTCTCTCTCTCTCTCTCTCTCTCTCTCTCTCTCTCTCTCTCTC